AAAGTCATGGAGCTTCCCTGGACTATTGACTTTACCCTGAAGAGATACTGACAGCTGAGGACTGCCACCGAAATGGTTTGCGAGACAGGGTCCATGCACATAGTCGGTTTGGGGGGGTTGAGTTTGGGATAGATTGTGATACTTTGTAAAATTTCAGTCAATCTCTGATTGATCAATCCGTTGTTTTAGGCTGGATGTAGGTCTAAATTGGGTCCTTCAAAAGTGAGCTCAAAATGACCAGCCCCAGCGGAATGGGATGTCAATTTTTGAGACAACTCCAAATCAGGTTTTTCTACAAAGATTGGCACCCTAAGAACCACAACTGGATAGTAACCTTGCTAGTTGAGCCTAGCTGGTGGCAGTTTTAACCCCGGTTACATTGGGATATAGATAAACTAGTAAACCCCAGTTCTACCCTCGGTAGATTTGCATTTGAAGCTCTTGCACAGAAGATAAATTGATTGGTCCATTCCGCCTCCCAACCAAGGGCTAAATGTTTTCTACCCAGCAGGATCTCAAGAATGTCATCCGCGATGATACGGCTCCGGTCCACGCCTAACAGATGGTGATAGCTAGTAAAAGCTTAGGAGGTTTCCGTGTTTAGACCTTCAGGACGGCAGGAGGGAATGAGGTATGCAACACGACAAAAAGGGCATAAGTGAGACGCAGCCCTTGGATGCTGTCAGCAGGTAAGCCCAGCCATAGTGAGTCCAAGATGCTACACATGCTCAGGTCTCAGAGACCAACAACGAGACTGGCACATGGCAACCAGTTGAAGAGACTTCGGAGCAGGCCGAGTTGGCCAGTCACTCTTCATACAGTTGACACTGAACTGATTTTAGGAAATGGTGCGGCAACTGCGGTCAAAAGTTCCAGGGACTTGGAGGGTTTTGTCTAGAAAATGATAAAAATATACAAAAATTGTTCATTCCGACGGCTTGAAATCTTGATTGCCTATTTTGAAGTGGAGCAGTTTCTTCTTTTATGCACTTATTGATGTGTCTCCTGCTATGTTGATTTCCTGTCGGTGGGGAAAAAAGTCCCAATGAGGTTCCCAACAAAAAGGAAATTCCCAACAAACAAGTGTTAATGAGTTAATGTTTGATTTCATTTCTCAGGAAAATGAGACAATTTTGAATTTCATCAAATCCTAACCCTGAGTCCCCCAGCTGTCCATTAGTCCCATGGAATGACTCTTTCAAGGTGCAGCAGCGCAGCATTTCCGTTTGAATCACCGGGGACTTTTGACCAAGTTCCTCAATATTCCCATGCTGCCACCCGCTGGGAAAAGCCGGACTTAATTTGGGTTATCTCATTTTGAGACAAACATGGGATACATAATGTGTGAACCAACATGGGAATACAATGGGATACATCACCAACACAGATGATTCGGCTTTGTCGGAGGTTTACCTCGAATACATGGCAAATTTGATATGTTCCATCCCTAAACATGGGAGATGATCCAACCACCATCAAATCGCAGGTTCCACTGTTCAAAGCACTGCGAAGCAAGGCGTCAACGGGAATTTGGCGGGCACACTATGGTGTCCTGTTATTTTTTTGCACAAGCAATCCATTGATACCCATCCCTGTCAACCCGAAAACCCCTGAAACAACCAATGTTTAGTGGTCATGACCCACCATGAACCCGGATGTTAGGGGGTTGTTGAGCCCCTATTGTTGGATTGCAACCCCATGAAATTCGCTCTTGGTTCGCTGGTTTCCTGTAGGTTTTTCCCAAAAACGGTACCCCAAAGTGGTAGCTTTAATGTGGAAAATGATTACGTTGGATTTTGGGGGGCTGTACCTCATTTTGCAACAAGCCAAATGCTTAAAGCCTTCAATTGTGTGGCTATTTTTGTCCACCACTCTCCTAAGTGGAGGTCGTTGATCATCACACCGGCGCTCTTCAAAAGTCTGTGTTTGAACACGGACACTACGAGTGAAGGTAGTAAAGCCATGTAAAGCCATTTTTGTCATTGAGAATATTTGAGAATAGACGCCTACGAAGTTTAGATTCCCGCCCGTTTGGCCGGTTGAGGAGATACATTGATTCGTAGTGATTCAATCAACGCCCCAGGTACGATTCTGGCCCCTGGCCAGACGTTGATTAGCACATTTACAGCGCATCCACTAAAGTTGATCATTTGTCAGGATTTTGCTGTTGAACATGTGAGGTTTCTAGCCAGGTTTGTATGCTTGAAGGCAAGTCTAGTGATTGCTGTTCAAATCCCAGCCTTTAAGTCAAGAAATCTCCATTTTCGGGGTTAGCAAGTTGGCAACCCCAAAATTGATGGAACTGTAGGCAATTGTTGGGTAAATATGGGTGAATATCAAATGCAACATCTTGGAATGTTAATTCTATTGTTTGGGACCGTATCATCCTGTTTCCTGGCACTTGCATGATGTTTTTCTCGTCGGGTCAGGTGTTGGATGGTCCACCTGTGGCCCAGGCGCCGGGCAAACCATGGTGTCCTGTGGATCTCTTCTTAAAGCCATCCATTGATTGATTAGCGGTTTATCTTTTTTTATGTTTATCCATCCCGTTGCCACGCCTGGTTTCTAATTAGGATTAAGCAAGCTGAAGCAATAATCAGGCCCAATGTTTAGTGGTCATGACCCACCATGAACCCGGATGTTAGGGGGTTGTTGAGCCCCTATTGTTGGATTGCAACCCCATGAAATTCGCTCTTGGTTCGCTGGTTTCCTGTAGGTTTTTCCCAAAAAGGTACCCCAAAGTGGTAGCTTTAATGTGGAAAATGATTACATTGGATTTTGGGGGGCTGTACCTCATGACATGTGTATGCACGTAGTGTAGATACTTGTCCATCTATATCCTAGATGTTGATCTATTCATGTCTTGGGTCCCAACTCAGATTATCACACGTTCTTCGCATTGGGTTGTTTTTCCCCCCATTGTCGAAGGCTCAACCCTTTTGAACCTGCATGTTTCGTGCTCAAATATCTTCGATTGTCTGAATATACCATACCTAAACAGTTGATGGTGTATCATCGTCATTTTCCATCAAAGCACATTTTTGGGGTATCTCCATTTTCAGACACACCCATTTGGCTGGGGGGTCAGAAAGGTGCCCGGGGCATGGTTGCTTGTATCAATGTATCCTCAACCGGGAATGCCAAACAAGCGGGAATCCAAACTCTATCGGTTCGATCTAGGCCATATCAGGCAATTTGTTCTCCCGCAGGCGAAAATAAGTCATCTAGGGTGATGCATCCACGGTGATGCAGCAGTGCCATTGCCTCAGCGATGTGGTGCCTTAAAATGGAAGTGTGCCTTCAAAATGGACATGTTGATTAGCTATCAACTTTTCGAGTGCCCTATTGAAAATACAAACCCACATGGAAGTTTGGAAAATTTGGTTCTGTTTGTTTTTGCCATCACCGTCATAACTAGTACAGTGAGGTGACCAGTGTGTTCTTTTCTCATTGCAGCACGTGCTGCAGATGCCACTGACATCACTTGGCTGGGAAAGCAAGAAAGCCTTGATGATAATGATGGTGATAGTATTGATGTCGCTGCTGTTGCAGAATGATTGTTGGTTCTTAATGATGCTTGAGAATAGCTGAGAAATGCATCACAGAATTGCCAGCTCGTTTTTCTGACAAGGTACAAGTTCAGCGCAATCGGATGTTCTGCGGTGTGCTTTCCTTTTCAGCCACTGCCCCAGGTTTTCTGCTTCATGAAATGCCTCCAAAAGTGTTGCCAAGTCTTGCAGGATTGCGACACCGAAGGGCACAGCCTCTGGAAATCATAGGTCTTAGAGTCTGAGAGTCTTAGTCTTAGACATTTTGGAACACTGCCAAAAGAAATCCATGAAGCAAGTCCTCCAAACCGGGTCTTTGCTAAAGAGGCTTGCCATTGAAGCACGTGTATCAAGATGTTCAGGTGCTCTTCCTCTTGGCATCCAGCAAGCCCATTGCCCGACTCCCGGATTGTCTGCGGGACACTGTCATGAAACTCATTTTAGATATTTCATGGCCAGCAAAATTTAAACACGTCTGAAGGTTCGGAACAGATGTCACAAATGTTCGGACAATTTTGAAACTTGACGAGTAGATGCTGGTTATCAGCAGCGCAAGAACTTGGAACTTGAACCATAGATGTTGGTCACGCATCCGCTGTTACACTTCAAATTTGCAGTGTCAACTTGCTGGTCGGGCACCCACTGTAGGGCAACTTTGAACCTGGAGTGCAGATTGTGGTCAAGTTTCAGCTGTTGGACATGTGTTTCGATTCTGAGCCAATGAGTCTATCCTGTTGACTTGGTTGAATTGGTCGCCAACACCCTCAGGCCTACTGGCACGAGCCAGACGTTATGTTCGTGAAATGGAGAAGCAGGGGAGAACCAAAAATGCTTGCTGCAAAGGCCAGCATTTCTTTGACGGGGCAAGGGGTGCCATGTGTGTTATGATCATCACATGTCTGCAATATCTGTGAGGAGTGGAGATACTTTTGATTCACATTTCGTCGAACCTTTGTCTCTTTTTGTTGATACTTAGCAAGTTCAGTTTCTATGCCTCTCAGAGACCATTCATTGGAACTGGACAAAGTTCAAATGCTACTCTGCTTTTTTCTGGTGGCAAAGTTCAAAGATATCGTGTCCGTCACCAGCTTTTGACGGGATCAGGAACAAACATTGGAGACTGGCACCACCTCTTCTGCAGCTTGACTTGACTTCAATGGTGTGTAGCCATGGACAACGCACAGCTGACCGGATGTCGATACAGTTTGGCTTGGAAAATATCAGAGAACGAGCGCAAAATTCCTTTTTGTTTTTTTGTGTGGATACTCAGCCGGAAAATCAGATGGTTTGTGGTTTTATTTGGTTTCATAGAAATTGCTGAGAGAAGACACGATTTAGCTCAGTAAGCTCTCACGCAGCGCTTTTTTTGGAGCAAAAGGTAATAACCAGGAAGGCGCCCTGAGTTTAAATGTGTTCCCTAGAGTCTTGGTTCGAAGTAGATAGGTAGCCGAGATGACAGAATTTCGGCGAAAGGTGATGTTCGGCATTGCAGTACAGGACTATTCCTCCATGAATGATGCACAACAAGAGTTGGGCAACTCCATTCAGGATGGATGGGAACGGTTGCAAAACCCTGGGAATGACTGTGACGCAGTTTGCCAGTGCTTCAAAGATGCAGGCTATGGAGTCATAGAAGGTCACAAGCACGACATCCAGAGATCACAGGATTTTCGTACCCACGTGAAGGAGCCATTGTGGAAAGCTGTCAGTCCAACAACAGAGCTGATAGCAGGCTACGTGGCCTTACATGGAAGTGAGGACAAGGATGGCGATTTGTCCTTGTGGTGGGGTTCATGCATGGGACCAAGCGACAACACCACCGGGGAGAAAGGCATGAAGCTCAAGGACTTGTTGAATATGTTGCTTGAACTTCCCAGCGCAGAAGATGCCTCGGTGTATCTCTTTCTGGACATGTGTCGCAGCAAGACATCCACGCTTGTTGCGGAAAGCCAAGCCGGACATGTCGCCCGTTTGCGGAAGCAGTTCCAGCGCACAATCACTCTGGTATTTGCATGCGCTTCAGGACAGCAAGTAGAAGATGGGCAAGGTGCCCCCAATAGCCCCTTTGCAACAAATTTGATTTACCTGCTGGGCAAACCTGTGGAGTATTCAATTGATGAACTCTACAGGCAACTGCACACAGCAGTCAGCTCCCACACCAAAATCGAGTCAAAGGGCCTTCGCTCGCAGCAGGTTACGCTCACTCGCATGGCACCTGAACACCACAAGTTATCCATGGAATCTCCAGAGTCTCTTGTGCGGAGCAACAAACATGCCATATTGGCTGGTGTGCCACCAGCAAATGAAAGCTTCACTGGCAGGTTGGATGAGTTGGATAGAGTGAAAGCAAAGTTTAACTCTGCAGGAGAATGTGCGATTGTGCAGACCCGTGCAATCACCGGGCTCGGTGGAGTTGGCAAAACTCAGCTTGCCAAAGCATTTGCGCACCGACGCCAAGCAGAGTATGACGTGATACTTTGGGTCGATGCAGAACGGGATGTGGCAACGAGTTTCCGTGAAAGTGCTTCAGTGCTGGTGGAACTCGGGCCAGAACTCACACCTGCACAAGTTAAAGCCAAGCTGGAGGACTTTCTACAAGGAAAGAAATGGCTCATAGTATTCGACAATGTGGAGCACGAAAATGACATTCGAAGGTTCCGCCCCAATGGCGGTGGTCATGTCTTGATCACATCTCGATATCAGTTTTGGGATGCTCGCACATCCCTGGAGTTGGGGAAGCTTGCTAGGATCGATTCCACTCTCCTTCTCTTTCGCAATATTTTCCGAATCTTGGTCCATATCCAGATAGAACCAGTTCCCTCCTGAATAAGCAGCGCAGCCCTCTTTTTGTATGTTGTTTGCGTCTCAATCTTTTCCCCTTTTTTGGCTCCCTATTGATCATTACTTCCATTCACTGGTTGATGGTTGCTCCCTGGCAGAGTTTCTTCAGGAGAAGGGGACCTTGTGACTGCACGATGCGAAGCACAAAAGTATCATGACTGGTGCCAGCTAGACCGCATGGAACGTGAACCCAACCCTCCGACGTCAGTGCCTCCGAATATCCAAGACTGCTGGGATTTGGCAAATCTTCTCGATGACTTTCCACTTGCTCTCGTTCAGGCAAGTGGCGCCATCTGGTTTTTTCATTTCAGCATTGGCGACTATTGCGAGAAGTACAAGAGGGAGTACGACCGCCTGCAAAAAGAAGAGGACAATCTCACAGAACGAGACAAGGATCCTTGCCAGATGAACTGTGAATATTATGAACCACATTCTCCCAAGATTTCCATGGATGGTGTTGCCAAACTGGCAGAAGGTGCTATAATGAGAAGGGAGAGATGTCAAAATTGACGCCAGCATAGACCCCAGATAGCAAAAGATGTTTTTTGGTGGCCAAGCGCACGCCTTTTTTGCTACGGCAAAAAACGTAATCTCCATGAGGGCCCAACACCCATACTGCCATAAACATCTCGCAGTCGCCCCCTGAAGCGACACCAGCACCCAAGCTTCATAGCGCACACCGCACGCTGACAGCAGTGCCCTGTAGCAGCACCCAAGTTCCTAAGATGCAGGCAGCCCTTTGACAGTAGTACCCTGCAGCCCTGAAGCGGCACCTTGCAGCGGCACCAGCAAGCCAGCTTCAAAGCTGCAGCGGCACCCAGCACCGACACCTTGCAACGGCACCCCGCAGCGGCACCGGCAGGCCAGCTACACAGCGCACACAACACAGCAGCACCTTCAAGCAGTACCCTGCAGCGGCACCCTGTAGTGGGCACCAGCAGGCCAGCTCGAAAGCGCACACGACGCTCAAGCAGCAGCGCCCAGAAGAAGCATTCTGCAGCCGCATTCAGCACAACACCCCGCAGCGGCGGCAGGCCAGCCCAAAGCCCAACGCCATTCTAACACCAGCACCCTGCAGCGGCAGCTTGCAGCAGCGGCACTTTGCAGCGGCACCGGCAGGCCACTTCCAAAGCGCACACACCACTCTCACCAGCACCCTGAATCAGCACCCTGCAGGCCAGCTCCAAACCCCGCAGTGGCACCGACAACCACCACTTCAACAGCATGCAGCAGCACCAGCAGGCCAGCTCCAAAGCGCACATACCACTGTAACAGCAGCACCCTGAGCAGCACCCTGCAGCTCCACCCCGCAGCGGCGCCAACATGCCCGCTCCAAAACGCGCATATTCATCCTATACTTGAATTAAGAACCCCAACAGCTTCGCTATCTGGGAAAAAACGGATCAAAATAAAAGGACCGGATAACCCCACATGTGAAGCCTTTATGTATCTAAGGTTAATGTAAACTTCGGGGAGGTGTGAGAAGTGAGGTGTGAGAAGTGGACTTGTGATGTCAGGTGTGAGAGGTGGATCCGTGATGAGTTCGGATGTGATAAGTTAAGTGAGGTGTGAGAAGGGGTGTGAGAAGTGGAGCTGTGATGAGTTGGGATGTGATAAGCTGTGATGAGTTGTGATAAGAAGTTGTGATGTGATAAGTGAGGTGTGAGAAGTGAGGTGTGAGAAGTGGAACTGTCATGATTTGGGTTGTGATAAGTTGTGATGAGTTGTGATGAGAAGTGGACCTGTTAGAAGTGGAGCTGTGATTAGTTGTTACGAGCAGTGGAGCTGTGATGAGTGAGGTATGAGAAGCGGAGCTGTGATGACTTGGTATGTGATAAGGTGTGATGATTTGTGATGAGTTGTGATGACAAGTTGTGATGACAAGTTGTGATGTGATAAGTTACGGCCAGGCGCGCCGCAGCTCCTCCAGGAGGCTGTGCTGCGCCTGCGACGCCAAAGGCAGCCGCGGCCCCCGCGGCGGCCACGCGCGCCGCAGCTCGTCCGGGAGGCTCTGTGTGCTGCGCCTGCCGCGCGAAAGGCAGTCGCCGGCTTCCAGGACCATCTGTGTACTGCGCCTGCCACGCGAAAGGCAACCGCGGCCCCAGCGGCGGCGACGCGCGCCGCAGCTCCTGCAAGAGGCTCTGTGTACTGCGCCTGCCACGCAAAAGGCAACCGCGGCCCCAGCAGCGGCCACGCGCGCCGCAGCTCCTCCAGGACCATCTGTGTACTGCGCCTGCCACGCGAAAGGCAGCCAGGAAGCTCTGAGTACTGCACCTGCCACGAGAAAGGCAGCCGCAGCCCAGCGGCGGCCACACGCGCCGCAGCTCCTCCAGCAACCTCTGAGTGAGTGAGTGAGTGAGTGAGTGGGTGAGTGAGTGAGTGACTGACTGACTGAGTGAGTGAGGGAGGTGGGTGAGTGAGTGGGTGAGTGAGTGAGTGAGTGAGTGTGTGAGTGAGTGAGTGAGTGAGTGAGTGAGGGAGTGAGGGAGTGAGGGAGTGAGGGAGTGAGGGAGTGAGGGAGTGAGGGAGTGAGGGAGGGAGGGAGGGAGTGTGTGAGTGTGTGTGTGTGTGTGTGTGAGTGAGTGAGTGAGTGAGTGAGGGAGCGGCGGCGGAGGAGGCGAAGGAGGAGGCGAAGGAGGAGGAGGAGGCGGAGCGGCGCCCCGGCGGGATCCAAGCGAAAAACAAGAACCCCACACAGTGATGTGGGGCACATCAAAGGAGCAAGAACTAATTCAAAGCGAACGCAGGACAAGGAAGGTGGGGAAGGAATAGGACAGGGGACGGACATTAAGAAAGACATTGAAAGAAAAACACGAACATAGTCTCAAAACGGCAATCACACGAGAAGTATTTGATCGTGTTTGATCAATGCTGCAAATACCGTTGACAGGACAACGTGTTGTTCCAGAATGCTTCACACATTGTTTACGTCAGAGATTTGGCCCCAGTATGCTGTAAATTGCAGATAGTAAGAAAGACAGCCCAACATTGAAAAAATATCCGCAAAATCAGTATAGCTGATAAGAATCACTTTTTTGAGCTCTGTTGGTATTCTTGGCTGGTTTTCTGGCTTCTGTTGTTCTTTATTTTCTGCTCTCCAAAATTCACTATAGACTTGGATAGACATCGTAGGAGCACAATATTCAATGAATTACCTTGCGCCAAATACCTTGGTGCCTTTCCGCACGTTCTGCATGTTCAGTGCATAATTTGCTTGGTGTCGCGTAAACCATGAGTGCCATATCCAAGGTTCAGACTACATGTGAGGATAGGTGTTGTAAGTTTTTGTGCTTTTGGGGGTGGTGCCCTCCCACCCATTCCCCCTCGCCCTTTTATCTTAAGGCCTAGCCAAGCTAGCATACGTGAAAATACACCAAATAAATCCTATATCCCATGTGCAAACTTGCACTCACACACTTGCTCAGAACAGCTTTTCGAATTGTGAAGTTGGAACGCATCTTCTTTGCAAAATTAAAGGACCGGATAACCCACAACTCAACTTCTGCCAATAATAACAAACAGTGATTGAATCTGTACTGGGAAGGCGCGAAAGTTGAGGTGGCGAAGGACCGATAGTTGTAAAGAGTTGTATGCGAAAGTGTTTCCTGTGAAAGAGTTGCGTGTGCAAGAGTTGACGAAGGTGCGTGTGAAAAAGTTGTCTGCGAAAGTGCTGCATGTGGAAGGGATGTGTGTGAAGGAAAGAGTTGTGCGTTCAAGAGCAGTCGGTGGAAGATTTGTATGTGAAAGATGTGTCATGAGGAAGAGATGTGACTGCATGTGTGTGAAAGAGATGTATGTCGAAGAAGTGTTCGTGAAAGGGTTGCGCGCGGCAGAGATGTACGTACAAGAGCTGGGTGTAAAAGAAAGGTGTGTGAGCGCAGATGTCACCAAGCGCCACACCTGCCACGCCAAAGGCGACACCGGGCGTTGCCGGGGACCAAGCGCGCCACCTGACCCAGCCCGTAAGTGCCACACCTGCCAAGCCAAAGACCGCGGCATCACCGAGCGTCACGGAGGACCAAGCGCGCCACCTGGTCATAAGTGCCACGCCTGCCACACAAAAGCAACATGGATGTCATCAAGCGCCACACCTGCCACGCAAAAGCAATGTCGATGCCACCAAGCGCCACCCGGCTACACCTGCTGGCTACAGCTGCTGGCCACACCTGCTGTGACGAAGTTGTGTGTGAAAGAGTTGCGCGTGTATGTGTGTGTGTGTGACAAAGTTGTGTGCGTGTGTGAAAGAGTTGTGTGTGAAAGAGTTGTGCGTTAAAGATTTGTGTGTGTGTGTGGGTGTGGGAAACCCTGAATCAAAGGGTAAAAGCAGGGGGCCCGTGGACGCATAGATGGCACGGGCCAACGAAGACCCATCTATGTTGTCGTGAAAACGTACCTGCAAAACTCTCATCGTCAGAAATGGCAAGGTGGCCAAGCCAAAAACCACCCATGCCGACATGCCATGACAGGACATGAAATGCTAACGTAGCAACATGACATGACGGTTATCATTTCATCTCATTTCACCCTCTCCAAATTCAAGGAGTTTACCAAAGTGTGTCTTTCATGCACCCGGATCTCTGATAAAGTGCCGGGGAAGCTTGGTGGTTCGTCCGCCGGGGATACCAGGTTACAAGAATAAATCCAGACATAATGTTGCCAGAAGCCAGTTCCGCACAAGCATCCAGAGTCCGCACAAGCATCCAGAAGTCTCCATCAGGGGGTGGAATGCTTCTCAGAATAAATCCAGAGACCACGCCAGAATAAATCCAGAGTGAAAATTTCATCCCTCAGAATAAACCCGTGTCATCCCATGATTCATGATTCATGTTCACTTTGCAATCATGTAAATAGTAAAAACCTAGCACTGAGAGAAACAGCACCATGCCGTTACCAGCCTTTTTTTGTCGGTCGTTGGTTGCTTGCTGAACAGCCGGAAATTCGGATGCAGTGGTTTGCTTTTGTCAGCCTTCTTCAGTGGAAATTGAACTGAACGCCGTGAAACTTCCTTTGGTTTTTGTTGGAGCTAGAAAAATGCCACACCTCATTCATGACACCCATGGACCCATGGCCCATGTACACAGAGATTTGAGCACCACGTTCCATGTCATGACCTAGCACTGAGAGAAACAGCACCATGCCGTTACCAGCCTTTTTTGTCGGTCGTTGGTTGCTTGCTGAACAGCCGGAAATTCGGATGCAGCGGTTTGCTTTTGTCAGCCTTCTTCACTGGACATTGAACGCCGTGAAACTTCCTTGTTTTTTTGTTAGAGCTAGAAAAATGCCACACCTCATTTATGACACCCACGGCCCATGTACACAGAGATATGAGCTCCACGTTCCATGTCACAACCCAGCACTGAGAGAAACAGCGCCTTGCCGTTACCAGCCTTTTTTGTCGGTCGTTGGTTGTTTGCTGAACAGCCGAAAAATCGGATGCAGTGGTTTGCTTTTGTCAGCCTTCTTCAGTGGAAATTGAACTGAACGCCGTGAAACTTCCTTTGGTTTTTGTTGGAGCAAGCAACGCAACGTCATGGACATTTGAGCACCATGTTCCATGTCACAACACAACACCGTGGAAACAACACACTTGATTACGGACCATTTTTTGGTTCGGAAATCATGCCCTAGCGGCTTGCTGTGTGTGGGAAACCCTGAATCAAAGGGTAAAAGCAGGGGGCCCGTGGACGCATAGATGGCACGGGCCAACGAAGACCCATCTATGTTGTCGTGAAAACGTACCTGCAAAACTCTCATCGTCAGAAATGGCAAGGTGGCCAAGCCAAAAACCACCCATGCCGACATGCCATGACAGGACATGAAATGCTAACGTAGCAACATGACATGACGGTTATCATTTCATCTCATTTCACCCTCTCCAAATTCAAGGAGTTTACCAAAGTGTGTGAAAAAGTTGCGTATTAAGGAGTTGTGTGTTTCTGACAAAGTTGTGTGTGTGTGTGAAAGAGCTGTGTGTTCAAGAATTGCGGTTGCGTGTGACAATGTTGTGTGCGACAAAGAAAGGACAGCGGAGGCGGGAAGGCGGACGGAAGTGCGCAACAAAAAACAAGAACCCCACACAAAAATGTGGGAAAACAGCTCAGTAAACCTGACAGGAAAAAGGAGTACAGGCAGGATTGGAAATTTCCGTGTCGCGGAGAAAAAAGGGGATGGCCGCGGAACCTGTGTAGGAAAATTGGAAGCTGACCCTTCCCATCATAAGATTATTGCGACAACAGTACAAAGAAAATATCACGCAGTGATTGCCAAAAAACACCGACATGCCGGTTCTAAGCTTAGCCGGTTGCTATCACCGTAAAATGAGTATTGGCAGGTACGTGACGCCAGCGTCCCAGGGTCATATCAGTCATGAATGCAGCCCTCTTCGTTGGGCATCAGCCATCAGCCGCAAACATGAGATTGCCCCCCGGCTTAAAACTTGAAATTGAAAAACAGCGACGCTGCTTGTCAGCAGGAAATCAATAACCACCCTCGCAACGTTAGCATCAAGAAATCCACAGGTACAGGGTTTACATCTAGTGAGATGTTACACACACCCACGCACACGCACACACACACACTGTGTGCCAGGCACTATACAGCAAAAAAAGCACGTACTTTTCCCACGCTTGAAGCATGCACACGATGTACTCTTCGTGATAGTTTTAATCTGTGCGCGTGTGTGTTGTGAAATTTTGCTGGCCCTGGGTAGCACAAGAGTAAGAAATAGTAACCAGAGAGGGTAACAAGACAACAAACAATCAAATCAACAACCAACCAGCCAAGCCAGCAAACAAACAAACACCAGCGGCAAAATCAACCAGTAATAACAAGAAACGGACAAGGGAAATACAACCAGGACAAGGAAACAAAAGCAACAAGAAGAACATCAACAAGAACAAAGCAAAACTAGTTTCGAAAAGTGGCACAAACCGATTACGTGACAACTTTGCTAGCTCCAAAGTGCTGCAAACACCTTGTGCACATGATATCATGGCTCAAAAAAGATGCAGATAGGAAGGAAAGCGACCCCAAATAAGAAGAACAATAGCACAGCCCCCGACCCAGAAAATATGTTCATGAAAGGTGGTTCCAGTGGGGGGCTGTGATTTTCGCATGGAAATTAAAGGACCGGATAACCCCACAAGTCAACTTCTTCCAATGATCAGAAAAAGTGGTTGAAGCGGTAAGGAGAAAGAAGAAAAGACAAAAGAGATGGTGAAGGGCCAATCATTTTTAAAGTTGTATGTGAAGAGTTGTGTGAGAAAGTTGTGTGTGAAAGCTTGTGAGTGAAAGAGTTGTGTGTGAAAGATTGTCTGTGACAAAGTTGTGTGTGTGTGAAAGAGTTGTGTATGACAAAGTTGTTTGTGACAAAGGTGTGTGTGAAAGATTGTGTGTGACAGAGTTGTGTGTGTGTGTGAAAGATTGCGTGTGACAAAGTTGTGTGTGAAAGATTGCCTGTGACAAAGTTGTATAAAGTTGTGTTTGACAAAGTTGTCTGTGACAAAGTTGTGTGTGAAAAGAGTTGTGTGTGACAAAAAGTTGTGTGTGACAAAGATGCGTGTGTGTGAGAGAGAAGTTGCATGTGAGAGAGAGAGAGAGATGTAAGTGAAAGATTGTGCATGACAAAGTTGTGGGTGACAAAGTTATGTGTGAGAGAGATGTGTGTGTGTGTGAAAAAGTTGTGTGCGAAAGAGGTGTGTGTGACACAGATTGTGTGTGACAAAGTTGTGTGTGTGACAAAGTTGTGTGTGTGTGTGTGACAAACTTGTGGGTGACAAAGTTGTGTGTGTGAGAGAGAGATGTGTGAAAAAGTTGTGTGCGAAAGAGTTGTGTTTGACAAAGTTGTGCGCGATAAAGTTGCATGTGGGAGAAAGATGTGAAAGATTCTGCGTGACAAAGTTGTGTGTGTGTGACAAAGTCGTATTTGATAGAGAGATGAACTCACTTGCATCGTAGATGTCACCAAGTGCCATGCTTGCCACGCCAAACTAAGGTCGATGTCGCCAAGCGCCACGCCCGCCACGCAAAACGACGGTATATGTCGCCAAGTGCCATCAAACAAGAACAGTGCAGGTTCGGCCGAAGAGCGCGCTTCTGTGTGTAAAAGCCTCTTCGCCCTCTTTTGCGCACAAGCCTCTCTTTGTAAGAGCATGTGCGCATAAAAGCTGCTCTGCGTAAAGGCTGCTGTGCGCAACGTCGTCTGTCTGTAGAAGAGGGTCGAGCACGGGCGTCATGCCATTCATATAATGCTGATAAGGAATCCGAAGGACAAACAAAGATACATGGATATCTCAGTGTCACCCATTAGCATTCATTATCTGGAAGGGAAACGACAGGAAACGAAAAAGATCCAAGCTCAAATACCTGTTTGCCTGATTTTTTTGGGGGGGGAGAGGAAACTTCTTCGTGTAGAAGCTGTTTGTGCACAAGTTTCTCTGTGTAAAAGCTTTTGTGTGTGTGTGAGAGCGTCTGTGCGTAAAAGCCTCTGTGTGTAAAGGGCATCTGCAATGCTGCGCTGTGCAAAGCATCTTTGCGTAAAGCATCGGTGTGTAAGAGCTTCTGTGTGTAAAAACTTCTTTCCGTGAAAGCCTCTGTGAGAAAAAACTTCTGTCGGAAAAACACTTCTCTGTGCATTGTTGATGATGTATAGTTGGTGCGCGCAGGCCCCAAAAAACCGTCATATTGGCTGTGCTTAGTCTAATTTGAAAGGCGTTCGGGGCAAAAAAAACGTAACTATCCATGTTTTTGGTGCCTCACAGTGCTCTTCCACGGTATTTACGATGTTTTTGCCATTGGTAGCAAAAACCACTGTATCTACAGCATTTTTGAACCGCACCTAGCAAAAGCACTGGTATTTACGCAGTCTTCATCATGTTGCAAGAAATATTTTCCCCCACATATTTGTGTGGGGTTCTTGTTTTTGATTCTGAATCCGTCCCGTCCGCCTCCGCCTCCACCGCCTCATCTTTCACACACATCTTTGTCACACACCATCTCACACGCATCACACACCATCTTTCATACACAACTTTGTCACACACACACACAATCTTTCACACACAACTTTGTCACACACACCATCTTTCACACACATCTTTGTCACACGCCATCTCACATGCAGGCGTGGCACTTGGGGACCTTCACCTTCGTTTTGCCTGGCACTTGGCGACATCGACCTTCGTTTCGCGTGACAGGCGTGGCACTTATGGCACTAGGCTGGCTCTGGTGGTGTGTTGGTGGCTGCTTGGTCGCGCGGTGACGCCGCGGCACTTTCCGTGGCAGGCAGCGCTTGGCGACATCCACCGTCGTTTTGCGTGGCAGGCGTGGCACTTAGCAACAACTACCGTTTTGCGTGGCAGGCGTCTCACTTATGGCACTGGGCTGGCTCTGGTGGCGCGCTTGGGGCCGCTTGGTCGCGCAGTGACGCCGCGGCACTTTGCGTGGCAGGCGGCGCTTGGCGACATCTACCGTCGTTTTGTGTGGCAGGCGTGGCACTTGGCAACATCTACCGTCGTTTTGCGTGGCAGGTGGCACTTATGGCACTGGGCTGCATGGCTCTGGTGGCACACTTGGGGCCCTTTGGTCGCGCGGTGACGCCGCGGCCCTTTGCGTGGCAGGCGTGTCACTTGGCAACATCTACCGCCGTTTTGCGCGGCAGGCATTCTTTTTGCTTCCTCTTCATGATCACCTACCTTTCGCGTTCCCCTTCGTCTTTAAATCTCGGGCACAGCTTTGACTTGGGCAATTTGTTTCTTCTTTTGTGACTTCTGAATTGGATGTGAATAATTTGTGTTCGGTGCATATTTGATCCCTTTCTCCATTTATTGTGATTCTTTCTCTTTTCACTGCGCCCTATTTTGGGTTGAGGATGGCTATAGTCGCTCCGTGCATGCAACTTTGACCATCATTTTGGCCAAACTCTCAGAGGAGCCAGAACGCGTGCCTTGCTGAACGATTGGAATAGGCTTGAAGCCCTCCTAAAACTGGAAGAATGGTAGGGCCTTCAATGGCTCAACCATTCCCCAATCAAGATGCGCCCAAGTTGCTCAGGTCTTGCGCGCGGTTTCGTGGCTGGATGCTGCAGTCATTCCCTAACGACTGCTTTGGTCATTGGTTGATGAGTTGTGCCCCCCAAGCTGCGACGAATGGCAGCAGCGCCAAGCAGTCGGACATTTGCAGCAGTGCTCACTGCTTTCTCACATGCATGGGGACTCTGCTGATTGCAAGGCACGGGTCACCGTTCGATAGAAGCTGTCACTTTCAGTTCTGCTTCTCAAGCATCAGTAAAATGCGGGGCGATGACTTGCCTGAATTGATTAGTACTCCCCGGGTTACATGTGCAGCGGCCTTTCTGAGGACTTTACGGTCCACCGAGTTGTTCAACACTTCATGAAGGCTCGGATGACAGAAGAAGAGCGCGTTCACGCAGCGCGCACGGTGGCTGTGGTTCTCAGCAAGCTGCTGACACCAAGCTGCAAACAAGAGTTCCCGAGAGCGTCTGCGCGCAGGGTTCTTCCAATAGTGGGGGTCTGCATCTCATCTTCTCATCTTCACATCTTCTCATCTTCACACCTTCTCATCTTCACATCTTCTCATCTTCACATCTTCTCATCTTCACATCTTCTCATCTTCACAGCTGCTCATCTTCACAGCTGCTCATCTTCACATCTGCTCATCTTCACATCTGCTCATCTTCACATCTTCTCATCTTCACACCTTCTCATCTTCACATCTTCTCATCTTCACATCTTCTCATCTTCACATCTTCTCATCTTCCCATCTTCTCACTTCACATCTTCTCATCTTCACATCTTCTCATCTTCACATCTTCTCATCTTCACATCTTCTCATCTTCACATCTTCTCATCTTCACATCTGTTCATCTTCACATCTTCTCCTCTTGCCCTCTTGGCCTCTTGCCCTCTTGCCCTCTTCTTCACATCTTCTCATCCTCACATCTTCACATCTTCATCACATCTTCACATCCTCACATCTTCACATCTTCTCCTCTTGCCCTCTTGCCCTCTTGCCCTCTTGCTCTCTCCTTCTTTTCTATTTCTCTTCTGAAGGCGGGGGCAGGGGCAGTGCCAACGAGACGGCACGAAACGCAACCCTTTCGCACGAAACGATCGCCACCCTTTCGCACGAAACGAGGTTCGATCGGCAAAATCTGAGGTAAAAGTGCGATTTCAAGGTGTCCGGCGCAACCCTTTCGCACGAAACGAGGTTCGATCGTCAAAAACTGAGGTAAAATTGCGATTTGCAGGTGTCCGGCGCAACCCTTTCGCACGAAACGAGGTTCGATCGTCAAAAACTGAGGTAAAAGAGTGCGAGTTCAAGTCGTCCCGCCCAGACCTTTCGCACGAAATGAGGTTCGATCGCCAAAAACTGAGGTAAAATTGCGATTTCCGGGTTCCCGATGCAACCCTTTCGCACGAAATGAGGGTCGATCGCCAAAAACTGAGGTAAAATTGCGATTTCCGGGTTCCCGTTGCAACCCTTTCGTACGAAATGAGGGTCAATCGCCCAAAACTGCGGTAAAATTGCGATTTTTTCTGTGTGTACAGAGCTTCTGTGTGCTGTGTGTACAGAGGCTTTCTTGTGTGCTGTGGTGTGAAAAGCTTCCTTTGTACAAGCAATCTGTGTAAAAGCGGTTTGTGGTAAACGCGTCTGCTTAAAGCTTTGTGGCTCCCGGTCAAAGTGGTCTGTGTGTCAAGCGTCTGTGGTGTAAAAGTTTCTTCTTCTGTGTGTAAGAGGTGTCTGTGTGTAAAGTTTCTGTGTGTAAAGGTTCCTGTGTGTAAAAGCTTCTGTGTGTAAAAGCGTTTGTGTAAAAGCGTCTGTGTAAAAGCTTCTGTGTTACAATCTTCTGTGTGTAAAAGCCTCTGTGTTGTAAAAGCTTCTGTGGTGTAAATCTTCTGTGGGTGTAAAAGCCTCTGTGTGTAAAGGTCTTGTGTAAAGCGTCAAGTGGTGTAAAGAGTCGTTGTGGTATCTTCTGGTGGAAAAGCCTCTGTGGTGAAAAAGCGTCTGTGTGTAAGCCGTATGTGTGTAAAAATTTTCTGTGTGGTAAAAGTGTCTGTGTGTCAAAGCGTCTGTGTGTAAAAGTTTCTGTGTGTAAAGGTGTCTGTGTGTAAAAGTTTCTGTGTGTAAAGGTGTCTGTGTGTAAAAGCTTCTGTGTGTAAAAGCGTTTGTGTAAAAAGCGTCTGTGTAAAAGCTTCTGTGTGTACAATCTTCTGTGTGTAAAAGCCTCTGTGTGTAAAATCTTCTGTGTGTAAAAGCCTCTGTGTGTAAAAGCATCTGTGTGTAAAGCCGTCAGTGTGTAAAAGATTCTGTTGTGTAAAATCTTCTGTGTGTAAAAGCCTCTGTGTGTAAAAGCGTCTGTGTGTAAAGCCGTCTGTGTGTAAAAGTTTCTGTTGTGTAAAATTGTCTGTGTGTCAAAGCGTTTGTGTGTAACAGTGTCCGCGTGTAATAGGGTCTGTGTGTAAAAATTTCTGTGTGTAAAGGTGTCTGTGTGTAAAAGCTTCTGTGTGTAAAAGCGTTTGTGTAAAAAGCGTCTGTGTAAAAGCTTCTGTGTGTACAATCTTCTGTGTGTAAAAGCCTCTGTGTGTAAAAGCTTCTGTGTGTAAAATCTTCTGTGTGTAAAAGCCTCTGTGTGTAAAAGCATCTGTGTGTAAAGCCGTCTGTGTGTAAAAGTTTCTGTTGTGTAAAATCTTCTGTGTGTAAAAGCCTCTGTGTGTAAAAGCGTCTATGTGTAAAGCCGTCTGTGTGTAAAAGTTTCTGTTGTGTAAAAGTGTCTGTGTGTCAAAGCGTTTGTGTGTAAAAGTGTCCGCGTGTAATAGCGTGTGTGTGTAAAAGTGTCTGTGTGTAAAAGTGTCTGTGTGTAAAAGCTTCTGTGTGTAAAAGCGTTTGTGTAAAAAGCGTCTGTGTAAAAGCTTCTGTGTGTACAATCTTCTGTGTGTAAAAGCCTCTGCGTGTAAAAGCTTCAGTGTGTAAAATCTTCTCTGTGTAAAAGCCTCTGTGTGTAAAAGCGGCTGTGTGTAAAGCCGTCTGTGTGTAACAGTTTCTGTTGTGTATAAGTGTCTTTGTGTCAAAGCGTTTGTGTGTAAAAGTGTCTGCGTGTAAAAGCGTCTGCGTGTACAAGCGTCTGCATGTAAAAGTGTCTGTGTGTAAAAGCGTGTGTGTAAAAGCGTCTGTGTGTAAAAGCTTCTGTCTGTAAAAGCTTCTGTGGGTAAAAGCTTTGTGTGTAAAAGCGCCTGTGTAAAAGCGTCTGTGTGTAAAACTGTCTGTACTAGTATGTAAAAGCGCCTGTGTGTAAAAGTGTGTGTGTGTGTAAAAGTGTCTGTGTGTAAAAGTGCATACCCGTTGCTTGCTCCCAGCTGAGATCTAGGAGCTCCAGCCCCTGGGGTGCATGGCTTTTTTTTAAGTTTTTTAGTAAATTTGACGATAGGTCCCTTGATTTTTTTGCAGACATGCTAGATTTTATTTCGATCCTATGTGTGAGATAAATTCCAAGGGGCCTGACCCCCCTAGGTCCCCTCAAGGGTACTCGCTTCCAAAGAGGACCCAAGGGGGGGTCCAGCCCTTGGATTTTATCTCGTTCATTCTCATTCCAAT